ACGCTAAAAATGCAAAGGAGAACATGGGCAAGATGGCCGAGGCTTACAAGCAGCACAAAGAAGGCGCCGCCGACGCCGCCGACGCCGCCAAGGCGGCCAAGGGCGGAGCCGGTTCGAAACCTGCCGGGGTTGGCAAGTCAGCCGCAGCACCGTCAGCAAGCGGCGGAGGCAAGCGCCCCCGCTCCGAATGACGATCAGCGGGCGTGCTCGCTTAGAACTAGCTAACGCACCGGGAGTTAACGCAATCGCCGCCCGTCGCCGCGCGCGGTCTTGTCAGATACTTACACATCATACACATCAACAAATAAAATAAATAATTTGATCGACCCTTATTCCTTAAGGCTCAACTACATCGCTAAAAAGGGCAGGTGACGCGCGCGCCTAACAGTGACTATAGATTATAAACACAGTGGCTGCACGCTGAATGCGCGGTGCCAACGGATGATCACAGGGCCGGCAGCAGCCGCGTGCTGTGCCTCCATGTCCACTGCAGGGCGCTCAGCAACTCCACACCAGGCTCGACCTTACTGCCATACGACGCGCCACCAATTGTGATGCTGCCATCCCCAACGGGTGTAAGGCCGTGACTCATTTGGAGCCAGAATTCGATCACGAGGTCTCCAGCCTGCCACCGGGGCCTGAAGACCTCGTCATCGAAAATAGACAGCACTTCGAGATCAGGCTCGGGCCCACCTGGAGCCATCACATTGAGCATGAGCTCGTACACGCGCCACCCGTACACGGGCTCTCCGCTCCTCGAAGTCAGCGCCGCGTATCGCCCGAAGGAGAATTCTGGGCTTAGCGAGTGGATAGTCCCCTCCCAGACTGTCGTCTTGTACTCGTCACGGTAGTAGCCGGCGTCCATCTCGACGCTCACGATCTTGCCGTCTCGCTTGCGAATGAGCCTGGCCGATATTTCGAGCGGCCGGTGTCTGGATCTGTTCCGCCAGTGCTAGGAAGCGCGCATTGAGCGAGGCACGGGAGATCCCCAGAAGGGTGGTGATACATCAAAGCTGATGTATCGGAAAGTATCGTGTATCGGATACGATACATCAGATACACGATGCTTTCCGATACATCAGCTTTGATGTATCACCTCCCCTCGGGGGATCACGTGCGTGCCCGACATAGGCTGCTCACCCTGCTCGAGCTCATGCGTGATCGAGAGCACGACCTCACCGCCGTGGCATGCCTCGATAACCCCAGCACATCGAACGGGCGCGTCACCCGCCGCGGCTCCTCTGCACGCTGCAGCCGGGCGTAGAGCGCGCGCGCGTCGGCGAACGCGACGCTGGCGAAGACCTGCGGCCATCGCGCCTGCAAGAGCAAGCGCCACAGGCTGCACTCGTGCGCAAGCGCGCGCCAGCGCCTGCTAAGCGCGGAGGCTGCACACAGCGCCACGTGGCCGAGGTAGCTGCACACGCGCAGCAGGAGCTCGTCCGCAACATGTCGAGGGACAGCATCCTGACCGTGTAACGTGACGGGACTGTGACGTAACGGAATTAAAATGTCCAGAAAACTGAGCCCACTAGTCTGCAGGCAGCATAGCCACTGCCCACGACACCCCCCCCCACGCCCTCCCTACCCCTCAGCCGCTACCGGCAGCTGCAGTCGCAACTTCTCCGCAGAGAGCCATTTCTCATGCATTGTTGTGTGTATTTGGGCTGCGGCGGCGGGGCGCGGGCAGAGGCGGGGGGGGAAGGAGGTTTGCAGGCTGTGTTGTTATACGGCGGGGGGGAGAGCAAAGCAGAGCAGCGTCAAGGCTTTTTTAAAAAGTCGATCATCCGCCGCGAGATAGGCGCTGTGCCAAGCCCAGCTCGGATGGAGGACTTGCTGGACGATGATGAGCTGGGGGCCGATTCGGCGCCGTCCGTGCCGATCGGGGTCAAGAAGCTGCGCGCATGCCTCGTCTCGCGGCTGGTGAAGACGGAGACGCAGTGGCTCGACGAGGGCTGCGAGAACGTACCTTCGCTGCCGATGCGCGGCGACCGCGACGCCATGATGCAGTGCACCACGCCGCACTTTGATGGGTGCGCGCGCGCGCGGGAGCACGCGACGCCGCTCCTCCTCCGTGCCTGACGCGCGCGCGGCCGGACCCCTCGCCTCTCCGCCGCCGCGCGCCCACAGGCTCGTCGCCATGATGGACCCGTCTAAGAGCTGGGTCGGCAGATGGCAGGGGATCAGTACGCGCCGCGCGCGCAAGGCGGCTTTGGGTGCCGGACGCCTCGCTCTCGCTCACTGCGCGCGCCTCCGCCCGCTCGCCCTGCCCCACCGCCATCTGCACGCGCCAGGCAAACTCCACCCGGGCGTGTATGCGCTCAAAGTGTACGGCAACCTCTCCGAGGAGATGGTCACTGTGATGGAGGAGAACGGGTTGGCCTACGCGCCCAACGAGGAAGACTGAGCGCCTCGCTCTCGACGCGCGGTGCTGCCGCGATGGAGCTTGGCTGTGGTGGCTCGCGGGCGCGGGTTTGACGCTCGGCCACGTGCGAGCTCGATGTAGTCAGCCCATGCCAGCACAAACACACGCACACAGGGAGCAGCCTCGCCCGCGCGCACCACCGGCGAACCGGTTGGCAACGCGCGCGCCAGCGCTCCCGGCCAACGCCACCGACCAAGGATCCAGGCATGGCGGCAGCGCCCAGACCAGCAGGACTTCCCAGACGGCCCATTCTCTTGTATTCTTTGATCTATAGATGTGTAAAACCATTAGAAACGTCCTGGACAGAGCAAACGGCCAAGCAACCACCGTCTCTCAAAAACTCAAAGTGGTTCTAAGAAGCAAAATAGAGACTCAAAAGGGCACAAAAAATGAGAGGGGACATCCGAGAATCGAACTCGGGACCTCCTGTACCCAGAACAGGAATAATACCACTATACCAATGTCCCACAGAAAGCACCTCAATGTTCTCATAAACATAAAATTTATTGAAAACAGACCAGTTTACGCTTTGAACAAAAACAGTTCGTAAATTGTAAATCCGTTTAATTCTCCATGATGGCATTTAAAAATATACAAATTATGCTCTATTTAGGGGAAAGGGGCTGCCGTAACTAGTCTAGAACGAAAAATGTGGAGATGGACAATTCTCTTGGCACATCGTTCTCTAAATCTAATTGATGACTCAAGGCTACCAAGGCTACGACGACGATGCTGCTTCCTGCGGCCGCCGCAGTGTGCGCGCTCGCAGCGTCGCGATGCTGTCCACTTGAGGTACTCGCTGGCACCTCTCGACCACCCGTCTCGCTCGGGTCCTCAAGTGGATGTGCGTCGCGCGC